TTGATTTCATATACATCTTTTAAAAAAAATTTTGTTTTTTTTTTGCCTAACTTTTTACTAGACTTCATATATTATTAGGGACAACGCCACATGAAGAAGCTTAATGAAAAACAGACAGCTGACATGATTAAATTTACATGTCAGCGACCAAGCGATCGTGCTAACAAAATTAATAGAGGGATCAATTTACTGAATTATCGTGAAAACGAGCAAATGAGAGAGTTCGGAATGAGGGTTTCCAACGAAATGGTGATCACACCGGCTCGTGTATTGCCCGCGCCGGTTATAAACTATCATCCTTCCTCCAAGGATTCATCATTCGCACCCAGAGATGGATCATGGAATTTGCGAGATAAGAAAGTTGCTAATGGTGCGACTCTCGGCTCATGGTCTGTGCTCGCTTTTGGAAGCGAACGTGACTTTCCGCATCAATCAATCAAAGGTTTTGTTCGAGAACTAGTCATCACTTGTTCTGACACCGGAATGAATATTCCAAAAAGAGATCCTCCGGTGATGCATGCAAACCCTAGTGGAAATGTCGAAGAACATTTGAAACAAGCGTTCCTCCGTGCTGGACAAGAATCCAAACAGAAACCGCAATTGGTTCTGTGCATTCTTCCAAACACTGGTCAACAACTTTATGGTAGTATCAAGTTTGCATCTGATACGGTACTCGGTGTTGCGACTCAGTGTGTTCAGGGAAAACACATATATCAACCGAAAAAGCAATATTGCGCAAACGTTTGTCTCAAGATCAATGTAAAATTGGGTGGAATGAATTCATACATTAAACCAAACTTAGTTCCATTCATAACCGACAAACCATCGATCCTCATGGGTGCTGATGTGACTCACCCTGGACCTGGTTCTACCAAACCGTCGATAGCAGCGCTTTGCGCGTCCTTGGACAACCATGCTTCACGATATGCATCCACCATACGAGTTCAGTCATCACGAGTAGAAATGATCGCTGATCTGAGTGGAATGGTCAAGGAGATGCTGAGGGCCTTCTATCAGGTAATTCTTTGATTTTGTTCGGGCTTTTAGGTTCAAAACGAATTAACCCATTGCACCTTTTGAATACAAGTAGAATTGTGGAAAAAAACCTGCGAGAATTCTATTTTACAGGGACGGTGTTTCAGAGGGACAATTTCACGAGGTGATTAAAAAGGAAGTAAAGGCGATCAAGGGTCAGTCTTCGACGTATTTCGCGAATTCAATTGAAGTATATTTGCATTAAGTGAAATATGAGTTCATCACGTTATTCTCATTTGCTAAATCGCAGATGCGTGCTCTTCTCTCGACCCAAAATATAATCCTTTACTCACTTTCGTGGTAGTTCAGAAACGACACCACGCACGATTTTTCCCCATCGACAACAGAGATGCTGATAGAACAGGCAATTGTCACGCCGGCACAGTTGTAGAATCGACCATTGTGCACCCTGTTGAGTTTGACTTCTACATACAAAGCCAGGCTGGTCTACAAGGAACTTGTCGTCCCTCTCATTATCACGTATTACACGATGAAAATAAATTTACTCCCGACGAACTTCAAGCACTCTCCTATAACTTGTGTTATGTATATGCGAGATGTACACGATCGGTCTCTTTAGTCCCCCCTGTGTACTATGCTCATTTAGTATGCGCGAGAGCTCGTTTGCACTCAAAAGATGGCATTATGAGTGAAGATAGTTCAGAGGAAAGTGAAGAAAATATTACCGCTTCTTACCGTCCCTTAAAACCGGACTTGCAAAAGGTCATGTATTTCATGTGATCGATTTGGTGAATGATCTGTTCCGATAAATGTGGTAGGCGAATGTCATGGTTGTTCGACAAACACGAGTAAATATTGTATGTTGGAAATAACGTGATTGTTCGTAAATTCAATAATAATCAGAAAACAAACATTGTGATATACTTCAGTATTTCAATTTCATCTGTTTTGCATTTCAGCGTTCTTTAAATTACTGTATTTGGCATTAGAAATCATAATAAATACCGAAATAATATTTACGAATGCTGATAATTATACAGTAAACTTTATTAATTAATCATTTGCGCATTGAATCGTGATTGTTTTATTGCATAAAAAAACAAAACTTTGTACTGCATATCACGCCGCGAGTTTAAAGTATTACTGCTCCAATTTTAGATATCACAATGTACAATATTATATCTTTCTGGATTAATAAAAGATGTATAAATTTAATTATTATTATAATAAAGAAATATGGAAGATGCGAAATAAGTTTGTTGTTTATAGTATTATAGAGAAATTTGCGTTATAAATCGGTTTATTTTGGTGCATGGAAAAATGAACTCAAAAGTTGTTACAAAAAGGCTTGGGTGTAAGTAGAGATTGTTGTCTTCTTGAACAGTAGCAAACGGAGTTCTACCATATGTTCTTCCTGCAGATATTTATGCTTCTGAAGATGTTGGAGCAATACATTATTTGGATTAGAGGGTTTTTTATATTTTTATGTAAATGACCAGTGTAATCGGGCCATTGAACTATTGCAAAATGAAAACAAATTAAAAAAACATAAAGTATTTCAGGACAGTCGGTATGTCTCTATTCTTAAATATGCAAAGGAATAGGCAATTGTTGATATTTGAAGCACTAAGTGACCTCCGGAACAAAAGGGAAAAGATGTTATTTATGTTCTTTGGGCTGAAAACTTTGAATCTGTTCAGTTGATGTATCCTGATGAAACTAAAGTTTTATTCAACTGCTAGGTGAAGAAAAAAATTTGCTTTGATATAATATATCAGAATTTTTGCCTAAGAAGTTTATTTAGTTATACAGTATATTTATGGTTGCCTGATCTTAATATTATTACCAAGATACTAGAAGTCAATAAACTAATTTTTTATAAAGATGGATTTTAATTCAATACATTATACATCTCTGGCAACTGAAAAAAAAAAATAAAAAAGATTTTTTACAATCTTATCACTAGTCAAAAAAAAATTATTTGGCATACTGCCACTCGTGTAACATTTGGCAAAAAATAAACAATTCAATAAAAAAATGACATAAATAAATCAG